GCTATGAGTTTACGTTTGTATTCTATCGCACTAATGTTAGCTCCATTGCAATAAGTGTCGATATATGTGTGATAAGAAAAAAAGAATCAACGAATACATCTAGGAGGGAGCTCAACTGGACATAGTGCCATTAAGATGACCATCTATATGCCACACAAGGAGGTATTGCTTGGACAGCAGTTGATTACGCTCTTTTACAAGAGCATGCAGCATTTTCGATTTTGGTGGTCAATATGCGACATTCGATTTTAGTCCATTGCGTCTGGCAGAGTTACAGGGCCCATATTAGAGTTGCACGGGTTTTTTTTTACTTGCGAGAAAAGCTCAAAAGCCTAGTCAGTGGAGGATTTTAACCGCCCTAAAAACTCGCTTCGTCCGAACGAAAAGGTCCTCCTGGCGCTACCGTAAAGTATTTCGTCTAAGTATTTCTGCTCACACCGTTACTTGGTTGTTTCTGTTCGTGCCAGTCCGTCTTACCTCTAAGCATTTCTGCTTACACCATTACTTGGTCGTTTCTCTTCGTGTCAGTGCGTCTTAACTCGTTTGCGTTATGTAAATTTGCTCTTTCTGCTACTTTTATGCGTTCACTACATCACAGTGGTGTCATTATGCTCACTGTCGCAGTTTTTACTATCTCCTATTTTTGACTTGAACTGTACATTTGTCTGATGAGATTTCCCATCAGTTTCTTCAAAAACAGTCTGTATGCTTTGTTGTTCTTCATTAAAACGCGGGCATTTGAAAAACATTTCTGCAGCATCTCCTATGTCGTTTGGACATTGGAATCATTCTCATTTTTAAAACGATGAAGGTAATACTTAAAGCAACCGTGACCACTAAGTATTTGGGTAATGAAATAGTCAACTCCGTGTTTACGGTACACCCAAAGATCGATGTCATTTATCAGTGTTAATGACCATCTCCCTTTTTCCGATTTTGTCCATATCGTATTCCCAATATTCCGCAATACGAGGCTTAACATATCAAAGCATTGTTGTAGGATGATTTCTCTTTGATTTGTTCTTTTGCTTCCCCATGCAGTGTTCCATGCGTTTAAGTCTCCTGCCACAATTGCGGAAGTTTTATCACATAGTTCTGTTTCAATTTCTGAAATTATGGCTTCGAATTCTCTTAGCTCCAAGCTAGGGGGTGCATAGCAAGAAAAAGTGTACATTCTATATTTCTTGGCCCAGGTGAAACTGTATTTTACCGTCATGAGTCTCCGTTGTAGACTATTACCACATATGCTCCAGATATCAATTTTACCATTTGTGTCAGAAATCTATTCATTTCTATTTAGATTGCTATATTACTCACTTATTATTGCAAGTTCGAAATTCTGTTCCATCACCGTTTGCTGTAATATGTCTTGTGCGGCGCTGCAGTGATTATTAATGCAGTTTGGCGCAATATGCCCCTCCTGCCCGCATTTTCTACAAAGATTTCTGCGATCAATTTGTTCTTTGCAGTTATTGACTAAGTGATTGTAGTCCCAGCACTTGAAATATAGTATTGGTAAAATGCAATGCAGAATTCTGCAGGACACCCATCCTATTCTTAGCCTACGTACGATAAAGATTTTGTTAACGTCCGCTACTGGTACGCTTGCGTGTGCAGTTTGCGTGCATTGGTAAGCTTTGATCATACATTTTGCTATTTTTGCAGGACATTGGTTACCGCATTGTGCTCGTATGGCTTCGCAAACTTGAATTGCGGTTGTGACCTCTCCGATGTCCCGAATTTGTGTTGTGGTCATGTATGTGTTTGTTGCCACTTTAGCTGTTTCCAGTAGTATACCTTGTATTGTGTATTGCGTACTGGGCAGCATTGTTCTAGGGTGTACTTTTGAATTCAAGTATCAACTTATTTTTTGCCATTCTACGTATCGCCTTTACATTTTCACCGAGTGGTTTCAGTGCTTCGTAACCTTTTATTTTCTTTAGTATGTCTGCATATGAAATATTTGTTGTTGCATATATGATCAACGCATCTGGTTTGGGTCGAGTTTTGTTGGTCTGCTTTTTCGGTTTCATTTTTATCCACGTTGTCTGTTCTTCTTTTACAGCGATATCAGATTTCTCTTTTCGCTTCACTGCAGTAACAACCACTGACGTAGTTGTCTCCGTTGTCACCTTCAATTGTTGTTGTCGTCGGGCTTTACCTTTGTCCTTTTAGCGGGTGTTATCCCCTTTCTACTTTAAGGGTGACGTTTGAGACGATGCGTGTTTTCTTATTGTCGTTTTAACAATAGAGGACTTTAATGCTTTCAATTGCATCTTTTATTGGTTGATGAATAGAGCGTCTCTTTCCACTATTTTCTTCAAGTATGTTAATCAATGATCTCATCTGCTCGCCTAATTTACAGAGAGTAGTTTGATTTTTCGCTGTTGAAAGTATTTGACCGTCTTTTAGATCGTTACTTCGTATATTCACGATACTGTTATTTGCACCTGCTTCATTCGACCCTCTTTCTGCTTGACTAGTGCTTAGTTGGGTTGTCGGTCATCGGCTGATCATATTTCTCTTTTAAACTACGTTTACTTCCTCGCTGATTCATCCATTTGTGCTTTGTTATTACTGCTGTTGATTTTGGTGTTTTCCATATTTTGTTTATCGCCAACGCACACATCGTGTAAATGGGGGCCGACAGGTATAGCTAGGAACAGGTGCATAATCGGGGATAACACCGCTACCCCAGTTCAGGATGTTTGAATCCTGAAATCATAGTAAATATTGCTTATTGCATTGCTTATTTTGGGTCCCTCTATGGTGCACAGCTGTTTAGCCACTCTCTGTGCACTTGGATATCTCTCGTTGCCATCCCGGAATGGTGGACCCTTATTAAGAGCCGGCGTCTACTCTGGTCAGCTCAGGATCTTCTCAGGAATTTTGTGACCTTTCAAGCCACACCCTCCGACGACTGGCTGCATTTTAGTCGCCTCTTACGACAGGCATTTCTTACCGCGGAAATATTCCAACCCCTATCCCGCAGGGGCAGGAGCTGCATAGTTCGCAATAGGCATGTGAAGAAAAGGTGAACATGCTATAGAGAACGACATCCAGGATATTTGGTTTGGTGGTTGTGGGGATACTGACATTAACAGACAGAGTCGTACTGGCGACTTTGGCAGAGACCATTGGAAATTTAAGATGTGATCTCACAAAGAGCGGAGGTGGTACTACGACATTTATGGCATAAATGTTGTTGGAGAGCTAGGTGAATATGTGGTGATATCTGTTTTAGGACCAAAGTCCAGAAGTTCGGCTGGTGCAGATAGCAAAGATATCGGCCTATATGATTCACCCATGCCAGCCGGGTTTCCCGGTTTCAACTGAGGGATCACCCTACCAGTTCCATATATTTGGGATGGTGTGAGACCTGATGAAGGAGTTTAGAATGTGAGTCAGCACTGAAAGGACAATGGTCCCGAGATGTTTGAGCATGAGCATAGAAATGCCAACAGGTCCAAGTGCTTTTAAGGCCTTGTGTGATCATATTGTGCACATTATCGGGACAGAACAGCGTGGTGTCTTCGGAATGTAGTTTCCGGAAAGCATGTTTGTGACTGCGAATACCAGGAGAAGCATGGAAGGGCGACAAAGTTCTTGGGCACAATGCTTGCAATCAGGAAAGCTGATCGCCTTGTTATTGCAACAGGAAGGATTAGATAATGCTTTAATGGTTTTCTACAATTTACCATTATTGCAATCATCTAAATGTTCCTTCTATTTACTAAGGCGATGTTCATCTACAATTTCAATCATTCGACAAATATAGACTTAGGTCACTATTTGAAGTTAAGCCCCGCAACGGAAAGGCTACTCCACCTCTTGCTCCCCCTAGGTGGTTCTTACAAATATGGGTGAAGCCTGAGTAGGATGAGAGAGGTGAGTTTGGCAGTAGTTTTGTTTTCTGCAGTCTACCTACTGCGATGTTATGTGAGGTCATGAATGCTGCAATTTCAGGCAATTTCCCTTTAAGGCCATTGCAGTTAAACTGTAGGATTATGAGAGGGAAGAACTGTTGATGGCGGAGACATCAACAATTGCGTTGCTGTAGTGAGCGGTTTTGTGGTCGAATTATGGATAGAGGTGGGCAACAACAGCCAGTAAAATTGGGATTCCAACCATAATGCGAAGTCAATGCAGAGCAAGTTCGAAGTAGTTGGTCCGTCAGAACCTGGGTTGGGTTCAGTTCTGGTCATTAGAAGTAACATAAGAAACAAGATGGCTGGGACTTACTTCTTAGTGGGAAAAACACATATATATGACAAATGCTAAAACAGAGTCATACCTGCTTGTGCAATCCCTTTGGGGGGTATTGTACGGCGCTTGCTCGTTGAGATCGCCGAGTGGCTCCGAAACGTACTCGGTGATTCTTGGAACGGTGGGACTGCTGTTTTAAATTCCTCTAAGTCTCGCGTAGAAGGCATCTTTAGTGAAATCGTCATTTTCTTCTGTCGGCGCGTAAACGCAAATTAGGGAGATGTTGATGAATTCTCCCTTGATGCAGATTGTAGCAAGCCTTTCGTTCACCGGTGTGAATTGGATAGTTCTTGCTAACCACAAAACCGCATCCAAATGCACACCTATTTACATGGCGGGTGTTGTAGTTGTCACAGCTTAGTCTTTTAGACCAGCTTTGTCCTGTCCATCGCATTTTTCAGATGGTGGTGACGTCAGCCTTTAATTTGTTGAGGATTTTCGCCAGTTGCCAGCAATAACATATCCTAATGTGTGTGTAACTTATATTGCAATTAATATACAGCAGTTCGAGTATTTCAATATATAACGATCAAATATATATTGATTAGTTTAAGTCCATGCTTAAAAGTATGACTTTGAGCGAGAGTTTGGCTTTTTGAGCTAAATCTGTTAAAATATAAATAAATATATAAATATATGTTATATACAGCGAAATTTTGATATACATATTCTAAAGCACATGCCTATTTTAAAATTATTACAAAATAAAATATCCTTTTTTAAAAAACGTCAAGTAATTTTTTATTTACTTTTTAAAAACGGGTACAAAAAGTTAAAGAAATCTCAGTACGTATTCCTATGGTTACCCAGAAAAATGTTCACATACGTCTTTTATTCTTTTATTTAATGCGGCAGGTGTTACTTATAATATAAACTTATGTTACGTCTTATTAATAACTTATGTACATTAAAAATACATTTAAACCACAGTTTTATAATTGTTTTAATATGAATAGATTACAAATATAAATAAAAATATATTTTACTTTTGTTCATTTGTGCTATTAATCTAACAAATGTTGTACTATTTTTTTTTGTTACGTGAGACATAAAAATTAATATAAAAGGTATAACAAATCAACATGAAAACTAAGGACATTTAACAATTTTTTAACATTTAATATTGTTATTGTTATTATTACTAATCAGGTTTTTGTTTCGATCACGAAGACGTTCAGTTCTAGTGGTTAAACCAAGAGATCGCTTTTTTTGAGAACACGAACGTAGACAACGTTGCTCTCCTAATACTGCAGGGTAAATTTGGTTCATGCTTTTCACTGTAAGAATTAATATTAATATATAAAATGTTTTTATAAAAATTATCAATGTTAATGAACAAAACTTACAGTTGTTCTCATTTGCTCTAAGTTGCTTCTTAGTTTCTTGAAGTTTTCTGAACAAGATGGTATTCTTTTGGCTCTGAATTAATATTTCCTGAGTAAGTTGAACCTTTGTTTTTGATTCCAATGAGTTGAGTATTCTGTAAAAAATAGGCACTTAGTAATAAATTTATATAACTTACAACTTTGAAAGATGAAATGTTTGCATACAGTGTTGCAAACTCTTTTTACTAGTAGAAAAATCATTTACACTTTGTCGAAGCACGCATGGAATAAACTAATTTAATTCAAATTTTCTGGTCAATTTACTTACTAACTAATGAAATCCTTTTAAAAAAATCAGTGATAAAGTTATTTCAGATATTCATTAGCTACTTCTAATGTTATATTTACAAAACTGCACAAACAGCTAGTATAACAGCCGACCAAATGTTAGGAGCTATAGCTCTAAGAGACGCTCTATCAGCATTGTCGGTCGTTTCAGAGCTTTTATAATTTTTGCGTATTTAATTCGAAGCATATAGCAGTAGATTTTGATCGTTATCCTAATCTTTCTTTGTTTTCTTTGATATATTTGCCAACACTTGGTACTTGTATAATACCATATCCGGCAGATTTAATAAATCTTTTAGTTTCAGTTTGGAGTTTATTTTAAATTTAAAATTTTAAGAAAATAAAATACGTTGGCGAAAATATCATATACAGGTTTTTAGTATAATTTAAACACATTAATTATTCTACACTAATCCACTTTCCTCTCTTAATAAATTTTTCAAAATTGGTTTTAAGACAATAAAATAAAACACAAAAATGTTTTTTCGAAACTGCAAAAAATGTATAAAACTAACATTTGTTATATAGTCTGATAGTTGTTCTAATTTAGGTTTTCCATAAAATTTTCACAAACAACTTATATATAATTACCCCCTATTCTCTGTGTACTTTATAAAACCATCATCTTGGTTATTTATTAAGGTTGACAATAATCAAGGGTTTAATATTCTCTTTTGTTAATAAATTATTAAATTGACACTCTACTAATTTTTGCATACAAAACACTTTTCTTCACAGTATGGTGAAAAGCGCTAGGCACTTAAGCTTTCAAATTTATAAATATTTACACAGAATAGCAAAAATCTGTTTGCTTGACAAAAATATTGATTATTTACCAATACTTGATAAATTTATCAAGTTCACAGAATGTATATTTATATTACTGAATTGTATATTTTAAATTTTTTTTAGGAATCTAACTTGTATAAGCAAACGACAGAAAATTAGCATCACTAGCTCTTTTAACCTACACTGCTATAAGAAGTAAATTACCAATCATTATGCTATGTTATCATATATTGTAAAGAATGCTAAGCATACGGTGTTTTATATTACTTACGGATTACTAAAAATAGATGTGGACGAAGGACGCTGCTCCGGATCAGGATGAGTCAATAATTTGATGAGGTCATTAAATTCTTCACTTATTGTTGATATATATGGAATATTTCCATTACGTAAATTGTCCCATTCTGGCCCATTAGTTGGCAGGGGACCTCCTCCTGCAGCCTCATATAGGGTTATCCCTAACGAAAACATATCTGCTTTAAAAAGATGGCTAAAATTTTCTTTTAAAATTTCGTTAGGTAAGTAACGGCAATCGCTTTTCTCAACGTTAGCGTCCTCAATTGATGTTACATTACCAAGATCTCCTATTTTATAAGTAATAATGCATTCAGTATTACTTAATTCAGCATAAACACCATCCATTCCATTTTCATAACATTCTTCAGTCAGTGATGGTAGAGTCGTTTTATGCAAAACTGGTTCTTTTGCAAGAAATATGTTACCAGCCTTCAAATCCATGTGCACCAAATCATGTGAATGTATATAACGTAAGCCTTCTGCAACGTGAAGGAGTAAAATTTTAAGCTCTGATTCAACAAGTGAACGTTTTTGTATCAATGACTGTAGACTACCACCATTGCAGTATTCATTCTGAATAAGCATATGATTATCTTCTGCCCATGCTGAATAATAACGAACTACATTATCGTGCTTTCCTAACACAGCGTGAGCCCAAACTTCATTTAATGCTCGTTTTCTGTTAAGTAAAATTATTTATTAACAAATTGTATAATAGGCATTTTACAATACTTACTCAAAGAAGCTGCCCGCAATGGGTTTAATACTCTTTTTAATAGCATAAACGCATCCATCTAAACGATTAAGGCACTGATAAACTAAACCAAACTCGCCAACACCTAAAATTTTAATATAAAACAACTTTTAATTTGGTGAATAGTTAATTTGTATCTATGATTATTACACATTTAAAATAAAAAATAAGAAAATTATTAAAACGTAATGGAGGTGGAAGAATTTTGTGTATAAAATGTTTTCTGCGTGAAATGTTCAAATCATATAAAAACAAATAATTATATATTTAGAAATATAATTTATATTGTAAGAGTAAAAAAATATTCGCATGTACTTTTTAACATGTATTAATAAATTTTTCATGATAGTAAAAATAAATTTATATTAAATGAGCATTAACACAAGCAAGAAAGCTATGCAACCTGCTATTATATGTCTATGAGTAAAAACAGGTGGATACGTTTTTTTATACGAACACATACCAATTACAGATATTTCTATGAACTCCTTTCGATAGCGACTAATATTTGTGTCTTGCAACGCCAATCGCTTTGGTGCTTGTACAACTTCCAGAGATTCATCATCATTATCACATTCTGCTTCTGTGTTTAGAAACGAATTAACCGAACCATCCAAGCCAGACTGCGTACGACAACGTTTCTTTTTACATGCCATTAACCCTATAAAAATTATTGCATTTTAATATATAACAATAAAAGTACAAAAAGTACTTGCCATCAGGAGTAAAAGGATTAATATTTGCGCTTGGACGAACATTCTCAACAGTGCGAGGATGCACAGGTAGAGAGAGTGGACGTTCAGTCATTTCACTTGCAAGCGCTTTAACATTATCAGAATTCAAGTTATTATCCGCCGACTTTTGCAAAATTGTTTTAGGTGTTGCAGGTGTGTCGAATAAACGTAACTCACGGACCTTACGATATGGCGGTGAAGCAAGCCCCTCATCGTTATCTTTCGAATGTTTTGGGGGATCGTTTTCAGGTGTGTCAAAAATCAATTTCCTATGGCGAGGCACCATAACTGGAGACACTGCTTGCATTTCAAGGCTTGAGTCAAGATTATCGCTAGCGTTATGTGCATCACCATTTCGGTATTTGTTATCGCGATATGCCATAGTATCGGCAAACACAATTTACTTAATCCTAAGTGAAACAATTATTCATATAACTGCATGCACACACGACCGAAATCATTAAACGCAACTTTTCCTTTACAAATGTCGCAAAACTAATAAAGTAAAGTTAGTTGCGGTTTACCCACTAAGCCGGCAAAAACAAACACAAATTTAGTGATAAATCACTTTATACCGTAAAACGTAGTTTCGTTAAATGTAATGAATTTGTTTTTGCTACGTTTGACGTAAGAAAAAATATATTTATATGATTTATTTAATGTTCACTAATTAAACAGAACGTAGTAATATATAATTACAAAAATTGAATTTTATAACGTCAATATGAATAAAAAATAAATTTCAAATGTTTGCAATATGTACTTGAAGGTGTGCATTTAAATAGTAAAGGTGATGATTAATGAAAATTGATTAAAAATGAAAAATATTTGTTTATATGGTGATTATTTTCATATATATATATATATATCATAAATCGTATAATTAAAATTGCAGTCTGTAAGGTTATAAAACTTTTTGAACCTACTATGAATAATAAAGGGTATAGACAAAACTAAACTAAAATTCCATTGATATATATATATCCCTATATCCAGAATATATATATATATATATATATATTTATATATATTTATAGCGCGGCATCCTTGTATCTGGTAAAACAGTAAATAGATTCAGATTTATAATTTTACCTATTATTTTTGATTTTTTGTGTTACATAAAACACAATAGAAAATAAAATATGAAAAATGTAAAGTTGATATGAAAGAAACCTTAGTTTAAATTTTAACTTCACCTCTTTATAAATTATTTTTATACCTGCCTCTATAAATACGTAAATGTATGTAATATGTCTAAGAAAATTGTTCATCGAAATCTGAAACCTAGTAAAATAGCATTTTGATTCTATTTAAACGATTTATTTTGCAGCAATTATACCGAGAATACTTTATCGTTTCTAAGAACACTTTACATTTTGTACTAAACTACTCAAATAAGCGCTGATTATGCAAACTAGTTATAAAACTTGGTCACATGATTTAAAACTGTAATTTATATTATTAAAATACAAAGAGGCGTAAATGCGTTTTATACATAATACAACCAACCATTTTGCAGCTACATACATATGTATATACTTTACTAATACTTCTTCTTAATTTTGAAATTAAATCCTATAATCATGTTGTGCAGGAATTTTGTGTTTCAAAAAACAAGGCAAAAAAGGCCTATTTACGATGATAATTTAGCATGTTAAATTTGTGCTAAATTACTAAAATTTAAAACTGTCAAATTTGTGCTAAATAAATTGATTAAATGTCAAATTACACATAATGCAAGCAAATTGCATTTTGTATAAAAATAAATTATTGATAAATTGAAATGAATATCGAATTAAAAGGAATGGTTAGAATGTTGGAAATTTCAAAATAAAGCACTGAAATTTTTTCTTTTTTGCCAATTTTTAAATTTATGAAATTTTTGAATTCTGTTTCAATTTTTGTTTACATATAATTTTTGACATATGATTGCAATATTCGTTGGAGTTTCCAATGAATGTTCACAATAGTTTGCTTATTGCGTTTGTAAATTTTTTTTTTACTGGCTGAGGTAGAGAAAATAGTATTATTGTTTTGCGTACATTTCGGCCAGTGTAGGCCAGCAACTTGCTGTTTTTTGCCGTACTTGCGAGCAAGTCATTAAAGTTGGGTAAGCGCATGCTTGGCAACTTTCATTACTGCTGACGACAGTGGTGCGAAACTGCGGGTGTGTTAACAATACGATATTTTTTCAACTTTTACAAGAAAACAGATTTTGTTGAGACACAAATATCCTCTAATAAAATCCTAGAATTATTAGTAGGATCCATGACATATATTTTATTCTTGTATTGCGTCGATTTCCTTCTACATAGCCGTTTTAACCTCAAAATTTCTGCTCCCACTGCATCTCGATTTCGCATCAAAGAATCTATACCCTTATTTGTTTGTAGTGACTATAATAGTTTTTTAGTGGATATTTTGTCAGAACAACTTTTGAAATGCTAATCGATTAAGATGAGAATATAATAAGCAAATGACTATTACCACTAGTGTTGACTTTTGACAGTAAAAAGATAATTTGTATGCCAAGAGTAAATTTAAGTGATTCACGTCAAGTTGTAATTTTATAAAAAAAAAAAAAAATAATTTTTTTTTATAAAAATACACTAGATATTATTGAACTATATTACTTATTTTAAATTCCATATGATAGTACTGTTAAAACTCTGTAATGAAAAAATGTAAGGTCTACAATGATTATTACCGCAACAAATTAGATTTGATTTATTGATTTACACTTTTATTACCTAGCAGTCCTTTGACAGAAACAATTCATATCTCAGATTCAATTGCAGCAAATCTTGATTTAAACGAGATTAACACCTATAATCGGCATAGGTGAATGTTGACATCAAAAACTTGTAAACCAGATTGCGGTATCAGTACCGCTATTTTGTTTATTTGATTGTAGTTAGTTGCGGTTCACATTAACAGCAATAAGCAGCGGTGATCAGGTTGCTGTACCAGTACCGTTATTTTTGTTTGAATAAACGTGATCCATTGTGGTTTATGCTTGACCATTAACAGCTATTAGCAGCGGTGGTGACATTGCGGTAAAAACGGCAGGTTGCGGGAATAATACCGTTTATATTGATGAACTAAAAAAGTCCCTGCTTGGCCGTCATAAAAAGTCTTAATATTTTGGAATTGAAACTATTTATCACACAATTTAGATTATTCAATTTCTTAATAATAAAATTAATTTACAAATTCATAACTTTACTTTCAGCACTTGCGAACGTCAGCCAAACATGCGCTCAAACCCCAAAAAAAGAGTGATTTTGCAAAACTGAATTAATTCGAAGTTTATTTAAAAAAGACAAAATCAAGGGTTGCAATGATATAATAATTAATGTGTTTTATCCGTTGACGTACACAAGTGATGAATTAGTATATATAAAAAATTATATTTAATAAATGGTTTAACAGCCTTCATTAAATTAGCTTATTTAATTTAGGTCATTAATGAGGTGAATTCAAAAAGCTTTCGTACAAATCAACTTAGTTAAGAATAAATTAAGTGAAATTACACCAAAATTATCAAATAAAACAAAACAGATTTTATTAATATATGTAATATATTGTACATACTTAACAAATAAAATAAAATGTAAATAAACAAAAAAGAAAAAAATCAAAGATGAACATTTTTTAAAATGCTCATGTGGAAATTTTTTTGAAAAAAAATTGGAAAACTACCCATACTAACAAAAGTTCAGCTATCTCTCCGTTTTCTTGAAATATGTATAATATATTATATATATTGATAAAATCCCTTTTGGGATATATATTTTGCAATGTTTTATTCGACATTTTCGGTATAATTTCACTTAATTTATTCTTAGTTTGATTTGCACGAAAGCCCTTTTTACTTCATTAACGACCTAAATTAAATAAGCTGCTCTAATGAAGGCAATTGGAACATATATATTATAATTTTTTGCGACTTTTGGATAAGCGGGGAACGCAAAAATCGTCTTCGACCATAAGAAGCGCATATTCGTCATTAAATTAATCAGCATTATGATTAGATGGGATAGCGATCAAATTATCAATAAATATATTTGTTGTTGTTTTCATTTATTTGAAAGCATCTTTGAAGACTACAACAACTGTGGTGATTGCCGGTAATTTGGTCGCCTGCATAATATAATTGTTTCTAAGAGAGCGACTAAATATTTAAACAAAATATTAAATATGATATGTATAAAATAAGTATTAAGTTTTAAAATTAAAACTAACCATTTACAGTTCAAATTGAATTTTAAACAAATGTATATAAATAATCAAATATTAAAAAAAAATTAATTATATTATTAAATAAAATCTAATTAAATTTAATTCAATTAAAATTGAATTATTTTCTACTGAATAAAGATTTTTCTGTGTATGTATTTATCTTTTGAAAATTTGCTGGGCTATTTCTGCCTGAATACTTACATATTTATCTATAAATATAATATATTTTGTTTTCTATAATCTATTTATTATCTTAAATTCCTACCTGTTATACCGACCTTAATTTTTATTAGTCAACATTAATTTTTCGATTTGATGATTTTCTTATTCCAAGATTTGAAGGTCTGCGCAGCCAGTACCTTTTCTTCTCTTCTCTTGGATATAGTATTTTGGCTACATTATCTTATAAATAAATTAATGAAACATTGATTGTAACTCCATACATTTAACTTTAATCTAAGAAACACCAGACATATTCGAGAGAAATACGAAATCATTGGTATTTTGACCTAAAGTCATGTTACTTTAATTACTTTTAGATATAGATGTTTCGTCTTTTTAAAAAAATATTTGGGTATTTCTAATTGCAATAGTATAACTATATCTATTTCGTTGGTTTTTGTTAATAGTTTTATGCATTCAAAATACCCTGAATTTCAAGAAAATCTTAGGTTAATAAAGGTATTATTGCAGAGAATCGGTATTAATTGCTACCTAAATTATATTTTAACGCGAAATATTTGTATCTGTGGTCTAATACCTGTTCTTTATTTTAATAAGAGCAATGGCATAATTACTTTGAAAAACTAAGATAGCAATTAACCGTTCTTTGAGGACTTATTAAATTCTGTACATCTGCTTCTCAATACCTAGGTACCTTCGAACCATACGTACATACATTAATGTGTGAAAATGTTTAGAAATGTTTTTTCAAATTTTGAAATCTTTTAAAACTGATTTTTGTTAATTATTTTATTCAAAAATGTATTCACATTTGGCAGGACCTGAGTTCGATTCCTGGTACTTGCAGTCTCAAAAATAATTATTTACAAATAATTAAATACAAGAATTATTTCCAAGACCACTGATGATGGATATTTGGCAATACTCGAAATAGCTGTATTGTCCGCCAAAAATTCAATTAATTAAAATAATATAAAAAATAAATTTTTGTTGTTGTATTTCACTACTGTTTGAAAAAACCTCTTTTAAAAAATGTATTCATCTAATTTGGAAAAACATCAACTTTTCATTTAAACTGAAGAAATTTTTTATCATTAGAGAATATTGGAGAATGTTGAAGGATATTCATTTTTCAACAGTATTTTTTTGAATTATTTTAAACAATGACAAATTTATACATATATAATACTTGTAAAAAGGCGTGTTTA